AAACTCTACAATCTATATCATGCAATACCCATTTTCATATACTTGTGTCCTTTATAACATGATGTCTTTATAACTTACCAGTACTAATATTATCTTGGATAACAAACTCTAAACTCTAAATTTTGTTTCAGTGTTGTTTCAGGGTATCGATGAAATTTGAAGTTTTTTCATTTACATTAAATTATAAAGCTCGTATTTTGTTAAAGATGGTATTTCGAAAAATCCTATCAAAGTAAATGGTTCCCCCTGCTTTCTTGGAACAAAATGAAATTCTTGGCAATCCTGCATAAAGAATCTGTGTTCAATTTTATTTGTTTTGATGTTTATGAACGCAATTCTACGGGAATTACTTATGACGACATAAGTTGCAGAAAAGAAGACAATCTTATTTGGATGACCAGCAAAACCAGGTCCAATGTAAACCTGTTGATACAGTGAATTGCTTGACGTCTCAAAGATGAAGATGGAACATTTGTAAATAAAGGCAAGAAGTTCTCCATCGTCAGAAAAGGTGCTTCCACAGTCGAGAGTAACGTATTGCCTATTGACTGAACATGTGCAATGATTTGTTTTACGAGGGTAGATAGGGACCCTTTTCTCGGACTTTGGAAGGTGAAAGAGAATCAGCCTATGATATCGTATGACTACGTTGTTTACTACAGTTTTAGTTACAGGCCATTGCCAATGAATTTCTTCCAAAAAGTTACCATCGTCATCTGTAAACATTGCTTCAGCATTCTTTGAGCTACTACTCTTCCATGTCTCACCAAGCAAAATATGACCCAATGCACTGACAGCTATGACGTCAACATATTGATCAACTGCAATAGGGGCACTACTCATTTGCCCTGTTTCTCCTTCCATCACGTAGATCTTGTTATTGAAGCATCTAATAACAATATACCAAGGTTGATTGCCATACACGTGGTATGATCTGATGACATTGGGAGACTGAAAGCTAGATACCAGGTCCAATGTTGTCGCATCTAATATCTCGATCTCTCCTTTTACCATTTCTTCAATGACCACAATGAAACGATAATTAGACGACAAAATAATTTTTCTATTCCCCTGAAAAGACGTTTTAGCCACGTATGTTCCATTCAGCTGGTACATGTGTATTTCAGTGTTCCTTCCATTTGTTAACGACAATACAAATCCATTTTCACATGCAAGAGTTTGCGAAACTGTCTGATTTTCCTCTGCACGTGGATCAACAGCAATACTTTCCCTCAGAAAATAAGACAAATTATGTTTTTTAAGAACTGTGAGTGGATTTTGCGATGTCTCTGTCTCACTCCCGTTCCTTTCACATACTGCATTAAGCACCATTTCAATACAGCAACCAAAATTTGGATTGGTACGAAAGGGGCACGATTCTTTATCGTGTTTGTCTTTAAAGCAACCAATAATCTGACTGATTGTGTCACGTAGTAGTTTGTCTGAAATTTTATCAGCATCCCTTTTGTTAAAAAGATCGGAGAATGTATATGCAACAAAAGTATAGTAATTTCTAAGCTTTTGGTAATTTTTTTCCTTGGTAAGCAATGTATCTGTAGAAGGAAGCCATGCAAATCGTAAGGCATATTCCTCGCTGTCTGTCAGATCCAAAGGTTTATTCAGATCTTTTTTCCCATTAAGTATGTCACTCAGGACTTCGTAACACTGATTGACAAGTACTTTATTCCCGTCATCTGTACTGACTTCGAAGTCGTGATTTTTGGGTGGCTCCTCAGTACAAACTGTATTCAAAGGTTTATTATGATCTCTTTTCTCGTTTCGTGTGGCAAGACTTTCGCCTTCTTCATGACTTCTGGAATCAGGTACTTTAATACTTACACCCTGTATATATGCAGCTTCATCTGAAAGCTTTTCTCCGCCGTTCTTACTCATCTTCCCCACAGAAATATTGAAATCTTGCTCTTTCTCTTCAAGAATCAAAAAATCAACCACGGTTTTGTGAAATACGCTTACGTGGTCATTCTCAACAGGAAACAAGGAGTGTAGTTGGCTTAATGCATCGCTTCTTGTTTTTCTTTTTCCACGCAGGATCTCAGAAACACTCTTAAGGCCAAGAATGCTGTACATCATCTTCAAGGGAATTGGGTTTTTTGATGCGACAACTGCTTCGAGCATCCTGAAAAACCCTTCCTCTTCCGTTATGTAAGGCAACAGAACAGTTCTTAATCTTTCAAAGTACTTTTCGTAGACCGAAGAAAGCCCACGAGGAAAAATAACCATTAATTCAGATGGCGAAAAAATGTTCTCTCTCTGCATCTCATCAATTAGAAAAAAAGCCACCAAGAACAAACCACCCGATACTTTAACCAGCTGTTCCATAACCCTAGATTCTTCGTCAATGTCTCTGAGATTGGCTCTGAAAAAAACCTCAATATCAAGTTTATTTTTGGGATCTCTTGGATCAATGAAGATGCTTTTCTTTGCTTTGATTGCATTAAAGCTTGGAGGAGGTCTTGTAGTTATCACGAATCGTAACCATGATGGTAAAAGAGACAGTTTGTTTTTAAGGATGTCTTGCAATTCATGCTTGAGATTACTGCAGCATTCATCTATGGCATCCAAAACGAAAACAAAAGAGTCTTTAAACTTCAACTTCTGGCATGGTTCCTCCAGCAAGACAGTAAATAGTCCCTCGCAGTCCATGTCACTTATGTCTTTGCCAAGATTTGTGTGCAGTTTTCTTTCTAAAGCTTCTCCATAACCAGGAACAGTGTCACACATCTGACTTGCTATGGACTGCAACAGCAACCTTGGATCGTTTCTCGTAGAATTACTAAACTGAAAGAAGTGGCATCCTGCAAGACATCCAAGTTCCTTATATGTCTGACAGATTTTAGCAGCAATAGTTGATTTACCCATACCTGGACCAGCTGTGATCACAATCATCTCACATGGCTGTGATTCATCTCCGTAAACAAAGGTTTTGACTTCATCCAGAACCCATTGACGAGTGTTTGGATGAAAAGACTTACACAGGAATTTGATCAAGCTGTTGAAGTCAGACTTGGTAAGTTGATTAATGAGTGAAGCTTTAAGTTGTGTACTTGAGTAAAAGTTCTTCATATGACTTATGTCCTCTCGAATACCAGGAATCAAAGCTGTCTCTGACTTGATGTCTTCTGTGTATGACTTTAGGTCTGCTGTGTCTGACTTTAGGTCTGCCGTGTCTGACTTGAGGTCTCCTGTGTCTGACTTGATGTCTGCTGCGCCTGCCTTCACTTCCTGTAGCTGTGTTTTGATGTCCTTATCTGATATAAACCAGTCATAGAGTAACTGGTTGTAGCCTTTCTCTCCCAAAGGAGCAGACTTCAAATCATCAAT